GGGGGGGGGGGGGGGGGGGGGGGGGGGGGGGGGGGGGGGGGGGGGGGGGGGGGGGGGGGGGGTTGCCCCGTCGTACGTATGCACTAGTGTCAGCAACGCCTTAAACTGTGTACTTTTGTTTCTTGTCACGTCCCAATGCGTCTCAAACTACCTCATTTTCGCGCACAGCGCTAACTTCGGAGTGCAAGCAACGATGAAGAAGCAACATCAAGTTTGTGTGCTGCAGATGGTGGTGTACCACGACGAGATACAACAGCTTCCGGTGTGCGTGTGTGTGTGCGTGTGTGTGTGCGCGCGTGCATGTGTGTGTGTGTGCGTGTCGCGGCTTACTCGCTGCGAACGATTTCCAACCGTAATATAACCATTTCCGGAAACGCAGGGAACATAACCAGGACACTCCGAGCACCAACACCACCGAATCATCGCACCGCAATGCCACCCACGAAGCTACAGCGTCCTCACGCACCGCATCTCAAGGACCACCCTCACAGCTATCAATAGTGAGCGTCACAGACACTGTTTGAGTCGCTGGCAACTTGCCAGGAGCGTGTTACTTGGCCACCCAAGAAGTTGTCGACGTTGCCCGTTGTGGACACCCACGTAACCACTGATGGCTTCCCTGTTCCATTGAGAAACCCCTTCCCCGCATCTCAGTACTCTGCTTTGATGTACACCGAACAGCTTCTAGAGGCACTAGCCAGGGTTTCCCCGTAAGCCGCTGTTCGCCGGGAATCCCTTCCGCTGGGTCTGCGAGACAACGAGCGCAATACGTTGCGAATTTTTGTATGTCTTGACTCCAGACACGTTTCCCTAGCCGTCCGGAATCGAGTGACGGATGCTGGTTGTTCGCGGCTTCCCTCGTCGATTGTACCTCAAGCTCTTCTCAAAGTCTAGGATATCAAGTTTAGCGGAACTATAGTATCACCAGAGGCAGGTCCGAACGAATGGTCTTTCTCCCCCCTTCCCCCTATCCCAGTGCTGCAAAAGCCCGGGCCTGAAACTAAAACTAAAGTAAACTAAAGCTTAAAGTAACTCCAAACTAAAATGCCCTAAGTAGCTGTGTTATAACTCTGCTCCTACTTTTTGCATATTTACACGGTGGGATGGGGCTTGCCTTCCCCCTCCTCCCCGCCTGCCACTCTTTCCTCCCAGAAGCCTCACTCTCTTCTCATCTCATCTCCCGACGCCCCTCTCCCCCGCAGGAGTCCGTCCTGGATCCGCCAGTGGGCCCCACAGCCTTTTCATCTTATTAATGACCCCGTCGAGGAATCGGGCTTCAACATACAATCGCTGTCCGATGCAGGAGAGAACATGAACATGCATGACTGCAAAGAACGTCCGAAGAAATCAAAATACTTATCCAAACCCAGGGTGGAAGAAAGATTTCAGAAATATATACAGATCCAGGAGAAAAGCAAGAAATTCTTGTACACCGGAAAATTTGCCACTTCCTGTACAAAATAACATCAAACTGGGATAATCTGTGTTTCTCCTTCCACCTTCCGCATCCTAGCCGAAATTCGCCTTGCGCCCTTCTTACGAGTGCAAGTGTCAAGGCTACAGCGCAGGGATCATTTCTGCTATTAGCGGTCTGCGAGTTTAGTGCAAAAACGCATGATCGCACCGGCAATTCCGATGCGTTCCAGCCTGGGTTTCTCTTTATTATCACATTTCTTATCCTTTAACAAGGCAGAGATTTTTTTTGCGTTGATTTTCGCTTTTTGTTTCGGTATTCCTTGTCCTGCCGCATTGATT